ATCCGCAAGCAATCGACATCCTTACACTAGAAATCTCTTTCTCCTTCCTTCCCAAGCTTAGAGCAGCCTTTTGAGGTTTTCTGGGGCGATCCTCGCCTTTTTTGGTGTTTTGGGAAAAATGAGAAAATAAGGTTTCGCGTCATTTGAGTTCTGGTCCCGTCCATCCCACTCTGGCGTGCACTATCCCGCTCGAGCACCGTCACCCTAGCGGCATCTGGCCCGCTCTGGCGGGATGATGGGCCCAATTTTCCCTGGCATTATTTCTTTCCTAAATAACGACGGTTCAGATCGTTATAGAGCATCAGTTCACTAGTTAAAAAATATGATAGAAATATTTGTTTTATTAGATAGTTTCTCCAAAATTTATTTAGGCTAATAAGATAAAAGTCATTTATCTAATTAAATAAGTTGTGAATTGTTATATCTGTTATAAAAGGTATTTTTAGATTAAAAAATTCGTAATTTCTTTTTAATTTAATAAATAAATAAAATAAAATATTTTTGAACTATTTATGGTATATTCAGCATGACATCTTCTAAGCTATCAACATCAGGATCCAAAGAAAACAAAGAAATAGATTTGTCTGATTAACAAACAGATACAATAATAAATTTAAATATTTTATTTGGGTTATGAAAGTCAGCAAAAACAGATCAAGCAAGATATGTTACTTTATTCATTTCTTTGATCAAGCAATAATTTTTTTTGTCTACTCATTGATGTTTCCACTTTAATCATGGATAACGAGGAGAGAATTGGAATAGCAATATAAGATTCCTGTATAATGGAGAAGCGTTCCTTAATAAGATTTATTTTTATATTTAAGATTTAAATTTGAAATTTTTGATTAAATTGTCAAAGAATTATAGTATATAGGTATAATAAAGTGATGATGATTAGTTGAATTCTCCTTCATGAAAAAATTGCAGAAAGTATATAGGTTAATATAGTAGTTGATAATATATTAAGTCTTGAACATCCTCGTTTTAATTCATTTTTAAAAAAGAAAAGTAGTATTGTGTTTAAGGGAGTTAAATATTAGCTATTGCTATTACTAGCTTATCATTTTTCGACTAGTAAATTTGATCGTGATTCATGCACGCAGTTATTTTATAAAAAAATATTAAAAATTTATAAGTTCTCTCTTTGTCATCGAACAATATATATATTTTCTCTTCAGTTTATATTAAGTGAATTGTTGAGGTATAATATATATTTTTTTAAAATATTCTAGGGTACAAATAAAAGGCTTTTTTTCTAATTTCTATTACTATCTTTTTTATTATTTCTAAACTATTCTCCTAGAAAATACAAAATAATTAGTAACATCATTCAATGAAAGATAAATATAAAAAAAAATCTTAACAATGCTTTGAACTTTGAACAATTCATTTGTTTGGACTATGAAAAAGATTCCAATATGAACTAGAGGGAGTACCATATTATCTTTGTTTCTAAAATAAGTATTATTTTGGTGAATAAAATAGACTGTTTCAAAATAAGTATTATTTTAGAAATTTAGGACAAAAAAGTAGTAATTGTTTCCATTATACTTTTATGTTAAGGAACTACTTCGAGAAAATGGGCAAATGACCCCCCAATCTATTACCGGATTTTTAACTACACACTTATACTTCACGGGGGTCCTATTACCCCCTGAGCTATTTTAAAGTGAAATTATTTCCCCCCTAAAATGTCATTACCAGGCATGTGTCTTGTGGTGAAATACACGCACTTGACACGTGTATTTCACCATTTAATAATTTCTTTTTTAAAAGAAGTTCCCCTCCTTCCTCTTCCTTTCTTCCCTAATCATTTCTTCAACTCTAACTATAATAAATACCATTTTTTACCTCAATAAATTTCCATATCTCTAACAATTTGTAAAAATGAAAATTCAAGTCACTTTTTTATCTACTCTGAATCTATAGAGCCTAGAAGATAGCAGTCCTAATCAAATCTTTCATTCAACCAATTCAACAATTTTTCTAGATTTTTTTACATTTCATTCGATTTTCTTCCTTAGACAATTTCAGATACACATTAAATGGGTCATGAACATTCAAGATCAAATTCAGCCCAAGATTCCGTCGACAGCTCAAAATCATCGCGGATGAGAAGACCAATTTGAGACCAATTTGTGACAGCAATTTGAGAAACGTCTCTCTCTTTCTCATTCTTTATTCTTTCTCCCTCTAAAATTTTCATGATTAATTTATAATTTGAGTTTTTGATTTTGATTCGTCATGGATTTTAGTTCCTTTTAATATGTTTGAAAATATTTTTCAAAATATACAATTACTTCACTTTGATTTTGTTACTCTTGAGTCCATGACTTTAAAAAAAAAAGTATGGGTATGTTTTTTTTTAAAACTATACTTAATTTGTTAGATATGATCTAAATAAGTCTATTGAAAAATTATTTATTCATAAAATGCATTAGTTGTTGATAATTTGTATACCAAACAATCATTAAAAAAGCTTCAACAATGATAATGGTGAAAAATGTATAGTTGTATAGATAAATAAGAAGAAAGAAAGAGAAAGAAAAAAGAAAAAAAATGGAAATTAAAAAACTAAGCGACTTACTCTCTCAAAGAGTGAAATACACTCTTCATGCCGACTCAGCACTTAAGGGGTTATTTATTCCATTTTAAAGTATTTCAAGGGGGTAATAGGATTCCCGTGAAAGATAGGTGTGTAATTGGAAATCCGGTAATAGGCTGGGAGGTCATTTGGCCATTTTCTCGAACTACTTCTTAACAATGTTCAATTCAAAATAAATATGTATAAATTATACTCCCTTTATTAATTTTAGTTTGTTTGTCCTATTTTATTTTATTTAGTTCGTTCTAAAAATGAATGTAATTTAATTAGCGTATAATATTTCGAAATTATGGGATCCGTTTTAGCTATGACTTTTAGTTTTAATTTCATATTCTTTAGTTATAGCTTTAATTTTTTGAATGTCGGTAATATTTGTTTATATCTGTAACTACTTTGAGTAAAAATCAACAATTGATGACGAAAAATACCTTAATTATGGACCTCTTCAAATTAATTTTGCGCAAACAAAAAATAATTAACGACTTAAAATATCTAAAAATCATATTAAATTTAATTAACTCTCTAGATTCTATCTATATCACATATACTCCCTCCGTCCACAATTGTTTGTCAGGGTAAGGTCATGCACACCCCTTAAGGAAAATTTAATACAAGGTGTAATTTGACTAATATAACCCTACTATACCAAGAATATCAAAAGTCCACATAACTTTTCAATTGAACTATACTATCATTAAGGGCAGAATTGGAAAAAAGTGACTAATTATTTCTTGATTGTTTAAATTGACAATTAATCTTAAACATCTATTTTTAGTATATCTGCCAAACAATTGTGGACAGAGGGAGTATTAAAATAAAACAATAATAGATATTGGGCCATGCTAGCACGAACACCTATGTTTAGTATGAATTAATAAGAGATCAGTCTTAGCTTGCCTTAGATTCATGCATTGAATATACTAAAAAACTAAAAATCTGCCCTTTTTGTGCATTGTTTTTAAAATAAAACCCAAATGCCAAGTGATTTAGTCCGTTTATTGAGTTCGTAAAATTTTTGCAATTTGCATTGCTGAAGATATGATGAACAATAGAGAGTAAAATGCCAGGGAAATGATGAACAATACAGAGCAAATTCGTAAAGAAATTTATTGTTTTCAACTCGCCCCGCCTCACATATATCTTGTCCCGCCCAGCCCGCCCCACATAAATTTATTATTTAATTAAGGAATTAAGATACAACATTTAATTCAAATCAATTAAGTCACATATCTCGTCCTTATGTGTATCTAACAGCTTGTGATACATGTTTCTGATAGCCGAAAATGATATAGAAAGTAATATTGAAAACTATCTGAATTCCTAGTAATTAGGATCTAAAGTAGTGAAATTTATGTAGTTCACCCTTTTATTTCTTGTCAGATAGATTTAAATTTTAATTTCATTTGCCTTTTTTACATTTCTAATTATCTATTAGTTGGAACTTGGAATTACATTAGCTTTTTATTTCAAAATCTCAAATAGTTAAACCCCGTTAAATACTGAAAATTCTAATCCCCTAGTATTCTTAAATGTAATTTTTAAATTTTTTAAAAAATGTGCATATTTTTGGAGATTTGAGATGTAAATGAGAAGATATCTTTTCATTGTTTATAAATTATCCCCTCCATTCACTTTCACTTGTCACTTATTCCTAAAATAGTTTTTCATTTTTATTTTATCACTTTTGACATATCAAGAAAAGACACAAGTTTTACCCTTAACATTAAATACTTATTTTTCAAATCATTTTCCAAGACCTAATACTAAACATCATTTAATAGAGATAGTTTGATAAAATACCTATATCAATAATTGTTTTCTTAATAAGAGTGTCAAGTCAAATAGTGATGAATAAAAATGAACGGAGAGAGTAATAAGAGAGTCTTGCCTCAGATTCATAAATTGAATATACTAAAAATCCAAAATTCTACTTTTCTTTTTTGTGCATTTTTTTCAAATAAAATCTAAGTGTCAGGTGATTTATTCCGTTTATTAAGTTAGCCGAAGTTTTGTAATTTGGATTTCCACTATTAAAAAATGATTTTCCATGTATAAAAGCTCAAAAATAAAATGAGCTTTTAAAAAAAAATCATGTATATACTTGATCCTTTTAAATAATTAGCACTATATATATAAATTAGGAGGCAAAGAGCAATATAGTTGACAACATATCACTTACACGAGAAAGACACAACAAACATACAAAAAAGTACACAACCATCAAGGATTGTTTTTTTACCATACTTTCAAACAACAAACAAAGCAAAGTTTATTTATGTAAAGCTCACATGCTTATATATGATCACATCTTAAGTTGCTCGGACTATTCAAAATGTTGCCACATTTGTATCAGATCTTTCAAAAATGTACTATTTTAAAAGGATTCGATACGCACCTAATGACATTTTTGAAGAGTCCGAGCAACATAGATCTTATCAATTCATCAATTGGCATGGTGATCATCAATACCTTTTGTCATACCAACAACCAAGTCCAGCAAACTTATAAGTTCAGGGACATTCTCATTTGGCCTTTCATACTCCAATGTCCAGCTTACCAAATCGATTTTGTCTTTTGTTTCAATATGAAGAGTTGCTTTAAAACTATCATATTTATCCGTTATATCTCCTTCAAATTCTTTGAGTATGAGCACCTTATTTTCATGATCTACAGCTTCAAGCATTTGTTTAGAGATCTTCTTTTCCCCATCTGCTTACAAAAAAAAAGAGTTGGAAATGAGAAGCAACATAGAGTTGACATGTTAAAAAACCATCTAAAGAGCTTTATCTCAATCATAATCACTAAAAATTCTAGTAAAAAGGCAGGTTAAACACATTCCCCTACCAGTTGAATTTAGATGAGGAGCCGGATGACATTTTAGTCGATACTAAAAGCGTAAATACGTTAGGAGCGAAGAGTGTTCGAGAAGGTTCAATAGGCCGAAATGAATTTATAGATTTATTGATATCAAATTCGTAAAAAGAACCAAAATTTTCAAGTAGGATGTGGATGATAAATCTTTGTAAACGCATTACATGCACTTTTATAGACTTAACCCGCTACTCCGTTTTGATAGTAATTTCTTATCTATATTTTGTGTTCGATATGAAAGTAAAATAATATTATTTTAAAAACATTTGTATATATCTAAAACAAAATTATGATGATGGAATGAGTAGGGGAGGGGAGGGCAAGGGTGGGGTGGGTTGGGGCTTATTAGGACATTTTTAAATATTTAGCTTACCAAGGGTATAGGTCCAACAAATTTTGGATCCAACCGTTCCAATGTCACCTTCAAGAAGATCAAAACCTTGTACATGCAAAGGGGACATAGTAGAGACATGGTGTGGTTTATTTGTAAAAACACCACGAAACATCATGCAAAGGGGACATAGTATTTCATATACATGTGAATCACACTAGAATCATATATCTAGTGTGATTCACATGTGTCTGGGATACACAGACAAATCTCGTCCATCTCCCTTCTGTTCTCGCTCGTCTCTCTCCCTATTTCCTTGAATCTGATAGCAAAAAACATGTATCTAACTTAAAATATGGTATGAAATTATTAATTAGTAAGATAAAATGTAATTATTTCAAACTATAGGAAAAAGTAGTAAATATGGTAGAAACATTTGTTTTATTAGATAGTTTCTCCAAAATTTATTTGGACTAATAAGATAAAGTCATTTGTTTAATTAAATAAGTTATCAATTGTTATTTCTGTTATAAAAGGTAATTTAGATTAAAAAACCATAAAAAAAAAATTTATTAAATAAATAAATAAAATAAAATATTTTTGAACTAAGTATGATATGTCACACTTTGTTTGGATGGTTGTTACCTGTTGTATTGTATTGTTGTTAGTTTAAATATAATATTTGTTTTGATTGTTATTTAAATTTTGTTGTATCGTATCGTTTAAATTCATCATTAGGTAAATGTAACGACCGATTTGGTGTGATCACGTTGTTACATTAATATTTTCTTTTTATTTTGTCTTTATTTTTTATTTAATAATCATAATTCATCTTTTATCCTACTTTTTCATAGTAGCTCTTGCCCGTACCCTACTTTTTATGTAGATCTATCATTCAAATTATAGATGTGTGTCATTATGCAACGAGAACGATATGGTCTATATATCCAAACATTGTATTCATTAAAACAATACAGTACAATATAAAATAATACAATACATTACAAAACAATACGTAACAATCATCCAAAGAAATAAGCTATCATCATCAGGATCCAAAGAAAATAAAGAACTAGATTTGTCTGATTAACAAACAGAATACAATAATAACTTTAAATATTTTCTTTGGGTTATGAAAGTCAGAGCAAGAACAGATCAAGCAAGATATGTTATTTTATTCATTTCTTTGATCAAGCAAAAATTTTTTTTGTCCACTCATTGAGATCTTGGAATTGCAATAAGATCCCCGTATAACGGAGAAGCGTTCCTTAATAAGATTTTTCTTATATTTAAGAGTTGAATTTGAGATTTTTGATTAAATTGTGAAACAATAATATATAGATATAATAATGTAATAATGTATTATGATAGTTGAATTCTCTTTAATGAAAAATTGCAGAGTATATAAATTAAATATAGTAGTTGATTATATACTAAGTCTTGAACTCTCTATTCAATTAATTCTTTATTAAAAAAAGAAAATCAATATTGTGTTTAAGGGTGTTCAAAATCAGTTATTGCTATTACTAACTTACTCCCTTTGTCCCAATTTATGTGGCACTTTTCGTTTTTCGAGAGTCAAACAGTTTAAGTTTGACCGGGAATTTGCGCATGAAATCTTCAATTTTTTGAAATAAAATTTATATATTTGTAAACTACGTAAAAAGTACTATAAGTCACAATAATTGATAATTCAGTGTGTTTAAAAGATCTACGAAAAATTTAGGTCAAAGATAGACTTGTTTGAATCTCGAAATTTAAAAAGTCCCACATAAAATGGGACGAAGGGAGTATCCTTTTTCGACTAGTAAACTTGATCGTGATTCATGCAGTTATTTTATAAAAGAAATATTAAAAAATTATGAATTCTCTCTTTGTCATCTAACAAATATATATTCTCTCTTCAGTTTATATTAAGAGAACTGCTGAGGAATAATATATTTTTTGAAATTTTTTCTAGGATATAAAAAAAAGGCTATTTTCAATTACGGTCCTTTTTATTATTTCTAAACTATTCTCCTAGAAAACGTAAAATAGTTAGTAACATCATTAAATGAAATATATATATATAGATAAATCTTAACAATGCTTTAAAATTTTGAACAATTCATTTCTTTGGACTATAAAAAAGATTCCAATATAGATCTTAGAGGGAGTACTATATTATCTTTCTTTCTAAAATAAGTATTATTTTGGCGAAAAAATAGATCGTTTCAAAATAAATGTTATTTTAGAAATTTAGGATAAAAAGTAGTAATTGTTTTCCATTATACTTTTATGTTAAGGAACTACTTCTTAATAATGTTCAATTCTAAATAAATACTAAATAAATATGTATAAATTATACTCCCTTCATTAATTTCAATTTGTTTGTCCTATTCTATTTTATTTAATTTGTTCTAAAATGAATGTAATTTAATTAGTATATAATTATTTTTTGAAATTATGGGATTCAATTTAGCTATGACTTTTAGTTTTAAATTCATATTATTTAGTTATAGCTTTATTATTTTATATGTCGGTAATATTTATTTATATCTTGTAACTACTTTGAGTCAAAATCAACGATCAATGACGAATAATACCTTAATTATGGACCTCTTCACATTAAATTTGTGCAAACAAAAAGTAATTAACAATTTTAATTATCTAAATATCATATTAAAATTTAATTAACTTTCTAAATTCTATCTATATTTGTAACACCCCAGAACAATTTTGAGCTAAGACTCGAACCATCCTTCGTCGTGAGTAGGATTTTATCGAGGAATTTAAAATTTATTGAGTGTTAAGGTCACTAGATATAACACCTTGAGTTCCAAAAAGAACTAAAGAGAAAATCATTCCTAAGTTCCTTTAAGTTTTGGGTCAACTTCAAACGACATAACTTTCAGTAAAGGACGAGTTAGGTGGCCTATAAGATATCAAATGAAAAGTCTTTGAATTATCTTTTCATCGCCACCGAGTTTTCTAAATTTTGAGTTCGGATGAGTGAGATATGCTCGTTTGAAATCAGGCTATCCAATTAAGGAAAGTTACCCAAAAATAGTGAGGGGTATTTTGGTCTTTTCCTTATCCAATCAGATTTAATTCGTTTTTAGTATGGTTTTAGGGGTGTAAACTGATTTGGTTCAGTTTTATAATCCTAAAATACACTTAGGATTTTAGAAGAGAGTTCAAGAAGAGAAAACAAGAGAAAGATGGGAAAATAGGGAAGGTTCAAGACGATCAAGATTCTTGCGATCTTCGAGGGGTTTTCGCCAAGCATTTTCTCCTAAGAAGTATGTAAGTTGTCATAGTGTTGGGTTCGTTCATCCACACGCCAATCATGAGTTTCTTTTATGAATTTCATCCATAAGTTTGTTTTGTTGGGATTTTGATGAATTCTTGAGATGGAAGTTAGTGATTTGAGAATTGTTTTTAGTAGATTAGTCTGTACTTAGGTTGGGTATTCGAATCTAAGTGATTGGGGAAGAAACCATTGGATTCTAGGTGAGTTAGGGTCCAAAAACGAGAATGAAAAGTCGTCGGGGTTTTCTGGGTTGGGGCCTGGCTGGGGCAGTGTGCCCCAACCACACCTCTGTAGGTAGAGGCCTGGCTCCCTACACCACTCAATGCGCTAGGGTCGCCTTCCCCACCTTTTCTCCGTCATTTTGCCCGTTTGAGTCCTTTAAGAGGGTACCTTCAAGCCTTATCGATTTTGTCACGACCCGAGCCTACACCCTGGACGTGGCCGGCACTCGAAGCGAACCCTCATCCTGGCTGACTACAAGCGGAAAACTAATTCAAGCATACAAAGCTTAAAAACTGAAATAAAAGTTCATAAAACCTAAATTAAAACTTTAACTCAAATGAAAACTCTGAATAATAAAATATATTCAACTCGCCCCAAAATTGGCAACTTAAGTCTTTGAAATATTTAATAAAATAAATAAATAATACAGACTTCTCAACTATATTGACTATCTATAAAGCCTCTAACTGATAAAGATGGAAGTCGGGACAAGACCCACGACATCCTGACTAAACTAAAAAGTAAATGAAATCATCCGGAAACAAGAAGGCTCACCATAGCTAACTCGAACTCTCGAATGTATCAACGAAGCTCCTGTTGATGATCCTGAATACCTGTGTCTGCTTCATGAAAAGATGCAGGCCAAATGGCTCAGTACGTGGAATGTACCAGCATGTAAGAGGAATTCTAAAGCATAAACATAAGCTTGAAACTTGATAAAACAGGAAACATACTTACATCTTCTCAAACTTACACAACTCAAGGATATTCAAAACTACTCAACTTACTCAACTCAGAAGTACTCAAGGATAAGATACTCAACGCAAAGATATGATATTTGACTCTGGGTACTCAACTCATCATGACTGAAATCATTTCAATATAAAGCAATTTAAAACAAGTGCAATATAAAGAAACAAACTGTTTAAAAACATGTTGTCAACTTTGTGTGTACGCAAGGATACAACATAACTCTGAAATGTATGTAAAAATACAAATAACTGTGTATATAAAAATACAATAACTTTTGTGGGAGTTTCTCTAACCGACAACCATCACTTACGAGCTATATTGATGATACAACACTTTACCTCGCGCTGCCAAGGACCATCCTACACCTTGTCATCGGTATAGGACCTTACTTAACTTAGTGGATCCACTAGCTTAACTTACGTGATCATCTAAAAAGTATGACCCGTTAAATCTCATGTTGGCCACATGGTTCTTATGGAGATTTGAGTTAATATGAACTCGCGTCCCCAAATCGGTGCTCAATACTACTCCCAAAAATATACTTTAGCTCATAAGAGTTTTAAACACCTCTTTCTTTAGTTTGAGATAATTGCTCAAAGCTTAGCCCAAAGGCTCTTTTGGAATCAATGTTCCCTTTATTGAAAACTAGCCCAAAGGCTCTCTTGGAATCATGTTCCCTTTTCTTGCTCAAATGTGTAAAAACATGTATAAACTCTTAGGGAATACTTAGCTCCCTTATAACTTTTAAGAAATGAATTCAACTCTTTACTCTTTGCTTAACTTGAAACTTTCAGTCTTAAAACGAAGTTAAAACGTTTATACAAGACTTTACTCTTACTCTTTACTTAACTTCAAAGCTTAAGTCTTAAAACAAAGTTAAAACATTTGTGAAAGACT